GTTATCATTAGCCCTTTAGTTGACTTCAGGTTTCACAGAGGGTAAGGAACATCAAATTGAAAAAGTCCAGAGGGGGGAACAGAAGAGTGTTTCAAAGATGTAAGAGACAAACACAAAGGTAGAACAAAGGTGAGGTGAGTACTGTGTAAATAGTCGAATATGGCATAGAGTGAGGTGATGGTAGTTTAAAGTGAGAAGTCAACTGCCGATTAATAGACTTTTTCGCCGTATGAATATACGTTGCCCAGGGTGCACCATGTGGAGGTAAGTCTATCGCACACCCCAGGCTAGAGCATAAATGTTACAAAACAATATGGAGGTTTGCTTGTTTGAGTACTTACGTTACAAGTCGCTCATTATGGCCTGCGATTAAAATTGCACTAATAGCCGTTCCACGATGTTCTTCTTTCTGAATAGGGGAAAAAAGGTATTAATATCCCTTCTTTTGAATCCTTTTCTCTATGCCTGCAAAATGCTTACCATTTGACTCACGAAAATTTCATACGAGTCCAAGAAGTTGATGAAGTCGGAATGAAGTTCCTTCAACTCCACTTCATTTTCAGACTTCATGGTGGAACCTTGCCGCGTCAGACGCCGTTGACGTTTTCCCCGTCCCGCCGACTTATATTTACGAATTTCACCTTCACAGAGGTATTTCACCGACTTTGCCCAGTTCACCGTAAGTTTTAATTCCGCCAAGTAATCTGACACGCAATGAATCTGATTGTAGGGTAAAAAGTAAACCAGGGGTCACATTAGACTCGAATGATAGCGCTAAGACGAATAGAATAGTCGACTTCGTAAAACATATTACACGGATAGATACTGCAGTATCACAAACATTATTGGAGTTTATGTATTGATTTATTCGTATTCCATAACACATTCCACCCATTTATTTCCAAATAAATCAATGATAGATGGATCTGCAATTCGTGTACCCGCTAACATGGCTTTTCCATTCTCATGGGTTTTGAAATTGCTTCGTGCATTTATGCTAGATAAGTTGGAAAATTAACTAGATCTTTTGATGATAATGATAATAACAATTCGTGAGAGAATTTTCAGAATTGTTCCAACTTTTCACATCTTGTGACATCTCATGTCAGTTGTTATTCAAGGCGTCTAGAGTACTTCTGTGATTGAGGACTTTGTAGAAGTAAACTTTGACTTTGACAAGCGATTCACCGGCATTTTATTGTGATTTAAGAAAAAGCAAATGTCGTCCGCTATTGGCAAAGAAAATGAAACATTTTCTGCACTCTCTAGCCTTCTTCTAGTGAGTTCAGACAAAAAAGCGGAGCTAAATTAAGGAGGGCTGTTTCACAGGGTGTGTAAGTGACATTGCAAATGACTAGACCGGTATCGGCATTACCTTTAGAAATTTTAGGTTGACACTTTTCTTTATCTATTTACCAAGGGCAGTAGTTTTCTCACTTGAATTTACCCAAGCAACAATAGAAAATCAGGCTTACAATAGTTAATAAAATGCCAACTAATTAATCAAAAAATCGTATTAAAAATAAAGACATTCTCAATAAAAAAACTTTATGCGTTGTATAAAAATCTTTCTCCATCAAAAGGCAAATATGCTCAATATTTACGTAAATAAAATAAAGCGCAAAAATTACGTTTTACTGGAAATAATTGACTGACTGTGAAAGTTCTACTATACGCAGTTATGCCATTTGAGGTCAATTCGAGAGAAAAGTTATCCTTCAAAATAGCTTCCTTACTGCGCGAATATTCAAAGTTCACTTTTTAATACAGCGAAATAATCTCAAGTGCATTTTGCAACACTTAATACTAAACGTTACTCACTGTAATGTATCATTGACGCGTGAAGTTAACAACTAAGGGACTCACATTAAACAGGTCACCCTTTTGCATCTGATTGCAAGCAGTAATGACAAAAGCCGGTGTACTCCATCTTTCTTCATTATTTCCGAAGAAGGTTGTTTCCATGCTCTCATAAACACTTCCAGAAACTGAAGGATTATCCAAGAATTGGACCAAGTTTGGCGCTATTGGAGGAAGTGGAACTAATCGAGAAATTGTGTTCAAGAGGCTGGAACGATTTGACTGTGAAAAGGATACCCTTCTCTCCTTTTCCAAGCTGTTCTCTTGTTCATTATTTTCAACATCACCACCATTTGCAATATCGTAATCTTCTTCCTCGTCTCCCCACAAATTTGTCATGGAAATATCGATCAGGGATCGTGACTTCACTTGTATTTGAGGAGATACATTGGGCTGGTCAGGTTCATCAAAACCTCCCCCCATAGATTCCACGAATTCGCCCAAACCAAGGGGCCCCATGAATTCCCGCTTTTTGCCAACATAACCAGTTTGTTGATTTGCTGGAGGCGAGAACCTCCGCTCCAGAGGGATAACTTTTCCTTGGGTCATTTGGGGAGGAGTTTCCCGTGTCTGGGATATATGTTTATACCACTTGATAATTCGAGTAAAAGGCATGAGTGAGGTATTCTGATTTGAACTGTTTCCTTGATCAGTAGTGACTTCGTTATCGATAGAGGATAGATTGCTCATGCTCTTAGCACTGCGAGTAGGCATATCAATTCGTGATCTTCGTACATTGGAGGGAGTTTTAGCCACAGTTTCATGGGTTGATTCGAATGGTGCTCCTTTAAATCGACGTCTTCGTCCTCTGCTCTCTCGATTTCGCTCATAATTCCTGTTGGTACTCTCCGAAGGCATGGTGGTGGTTAAGTTATCTGATTTTTTCACCCTCTCTGGGTTGCGTAAGAAAGTTGGTGAATGTGCTTTAATTTTGGCGTATGCCTACTCTCTGCTTGAATCATCAGTGCTAGGAGCCTGCTTTGCACGCTCAAGTGCGTGAGTGAGTTACAGTTACGCCCTGCTATTGGCTAACTACGCTGACACCAGCCTATGTGAATGCCGTATGGGAGAGATTGCTGTAATCTGATCGGTGCAGGCCAAGCCAGGTGAACACACTCGCACACTCGATTATTGATCACATTTATTATGTGCTCTATTAAGCATGCATGTCCATGACTTAAGGTGCCGACAATCAAACAAATGGCACAGTCAAAACCGGAATTAATAATAAAACTGATTTGAATAGGGGTGGATGGGAGTGCGGGGTAGGGTTGAAACTGTCACCAAGGTAATAAATAATAGGAGAATTGGATGTAGATAAATTTTTTTATGCTCTATGTAATTTTTGAGATAAATTGTATGGGATCTCAGGATAATCTTTATCTTCATAACTGTAAAAGCGATATTTTATTTGTTGGACCAACTTGTAATATCTGCTTATGTGAAAATTATACCTTTAATGTAAGATAAATACCATGTGTGATATTCGATGGCTTCTACTTATGTATTGACATTCATATCAAATAAATCAAATTAAATAAATAAATTAATTAATTAACGTTAATAAATATGATATGATGCTAATTTAATTACAGGCAAATAAGTCCTTATGAAGTTCGGCTGCTTCAACTCAAACAGTTTGAAAAATGACATTGTAAGTAAATAGAAAAGGCAGTAAATTTCACCGTTTTACGTTTTATCGTTCTAATTCTATTAAGGTCAACTTAATCTATGCTGTAAAAACGCCTTCATAAATTAACTTACAATAATTTAATGTAAATTGGTACCCCTATTCTATTCGGTCTCTAGAAAAAAATTTCCTACGTGCTATACTTTCCTACCTACTCAAACCGCTAGTTGATGGTGGACATCGTGGTTAGAAGTTAGTCCTCCACTCCAGAGAAAAGCTAAATTGGCGCATTTGAAGTACATTCCAATTCCAAATGTTGCCCCTCCATTCTTCTCCCTCTTCGACCCTCTAATCGGACTGCTTGGTATTATCCAAGTTCACATGTCCTCCCAAGATGAAAAACTCCAAAAAAACTCCAGTTATAGCAAAAATTGCATTAATTTTAACAATTCTTGCCTGTCCCATGTATGCGTATTTGGGGCATAAGTAGATACTAATCGAATAACTCATTTTGCTCCATCTACCTACAAGGCAGTGGAAGCCAAGTCATGTTTAAATCGTGGAACGAAAACCAGTGGGATAAATTTCTAATGAGAATATTGTGAAAAATGGGGTGCGTGATAGACTTACCTCCACGTGGTGCACCCTGGGCAACGTCAATAGACTTACCTCCACGTGGTGCACCCTGGGCAACGTATATTCATACGGCAAAGTCTATTAACTGGTAGTTGACTTCTCCGCATACGGCAAAAAAGTCTATTAACCGGCAGTTTTCTTCTCACTTCAAACTACCATGACCCCCCTATATGTCCTACATTCTCATACGGCAAAAAAGTCTATTAACCGGCATTTGACATGACTTCAAACTACAATCACCCCACTGTATGTCAAATTCGACTACTTGACTTCAAACTACCATCATCCCACTCTATGCCATATTCGAGCTTCAAAGACAAAAAAGTCTATTGATCGGCAGTTGACTTCTGACTTGCAAAAAGTCTATTGATCGGCAGTTGACTTCTGACTTCAAACTACCATCACCCACTGTATGGGCTTAAAACTACAATGGCCCAACTGTATGCCATATTCTACCACATCCGCAGTATTCATCCTACCTTTTCTCTGGCTTTGTGTCTGTCTCTTTACATATGTAAATCACTCTTCTGTTCCCCACCCCTCGAATTTCTGTTACTTTGATGTTCCTTCCCCTGTGAAGCCCGAAGTCAGGTAAAGGGCTAATGATAACTATCAAAACGTCTGCCATTTGAAATAAATAAATAAATATTGTGAAAAATATTTATTTAAGGACAGAAGAGTGCTTCACGGATGTAAAAGGGACAGACACAAAGGTAGAAAAAATGTAAGGTGAGTGAAGTGGAAGTGTTAGAAACTGACATAGTGTCGGGTTATGGTAGTTTGAAGTCAGAAGTCACCTGCCAGTTTAATGACTTTTACCCAAGATGTACCACGTGGAGTTAAGTCTATCGCGAACCCCATCGAGGTTGAATAATGCACAATAAAACTGTAAATATCGTTTCCTTCTCCTCTCTTCGCCATTCCTGTCTGGTTAACCGAGTAATCGATAATATCCCATTCACATATCCCCTCACTGAGGTTGCATTAATAAAAAATGCTACCTTAAAACCTGCATCAGCTGGGAAGCCGCTTAAAATCTTCCCCATACCTCAAGGTAATACATATATTATACGAATTTGTAGAATTTTTATTTTTCGTCCCCGTTCTTGGTACCAAATTTCCTATTTCCGATTACGCATATTATTTGTGAGCGTGTTTATAATAATGGACTGTCCTTGAGGCATATAAGAACTGGCCTCTCCCTACAAAATCCACCAAGTTTGAGAAATTGGAGTAATATGGGCAATAGAAGTGATATTTGGCCTCGCATAATCCATATAGATCTCATTTCCATTAATCAAATGAACCAATGTTGGTTAAGGCAATATCTTCCCCAACAAAGTGTGTATACAAATAAAATTACATATGTTAATGATGGAGAGAGAGAGAGGGAGAGAGACTGCATTGGATTGGCGAGTGTGCGACAAACTTGAAAAAAAATAAATACGCAGGCATTACACTTCAATATAACGCTGGTTAGTTACTTGAACGTCACATGTGGGGTCTAATTTGCATGCCCGCTGACGTCTCCCCACCCCACACCACCCCCACCCCCTCTTCTTGCTGTCTCACGTTTCTGAATTGTAAATGTCAATTAGAAGTGGGTAAACTCTCCACCCCCCCCCCCCCCCCCCCCTCCCCCGATCTCTCTCTCGCCCCGCCACGCCTTCGCTGTTGCCCATCTTTCATAAAGCGATCTCTTCCACCGCCTTCTTTCTCTATCAATTAAAACAAAAACAAAATATTTTATTCTAAGCAAGCAAGTAAGTAAGAAAAAACATCAGAAAAAAACTCAGTGAAAATTATGCGCTTATTTTTAATTTAGTGATTGATTGAAATATTACACATTTCTATAACATAAGTGAGAGTAGAAAAAAAATCGATAATTGATTGAACACATTCAACGAAGTTGTATGGCAATTGAATATGCAAATAAAGCAATACCAGCACTGCGAGTTTGTGTACCATCCTTGAAAAAAATGCAAGTAAATGAGATTAATTCAATTCCAAATAGTTGTTATCATCACACATTACAGAATTACGCAAATGCTCATAATTAGTTAAAAAGAGCATAATTGATGATTGTGTGTGTGTGTGTGTTGATGTTATTCGAGTGAAAGGTTTATGATCTACCAATGCTTTAATTACGTTAATTCTCGCAGCGAGTGTTACTTGCAGTGATGTTACTTACTACACTAACAAATTTATTCTTATCTTAAAGATGAACAAAACCTGGTGACAACTGCGTTTTAACTACCTAAATTTCGAAATCGCTCGTGAACCGGGGGGTGCAAATCCCAACATTCGAACATTGGAAAAAGAAAGAATATGAACGATTCTGCAGTGGATTATACATTTTGAGATTCAATTATGCCCTTATTTAAACCTCCATTTCTGGGGTGTGCGATAGACTTACTTCCACGTGGTGTACCCTGAGCAACGTATATTCAAACGTCAAAAAGTCTATTAATTGGCAGTTGACTTCTGACTTGGTTTGTCATATTCGAATACTTCCATAGTACTCATCTTGCCTTTTCTCTGCCTCTGTGTCCCTCTGTCTCTTTCACATCTGTAAATCATTGTTCTGTCCTCATTCTCGACATTCTGCCATTTTGGTGTTCCTCCTCCACTCTGGGTAGCCCGAAGTCAGCTAAAGAGATAATGATGACTATCAAAACGCCTGCCATTTGATATAAATAAGTAAAATGAACCTCCGTTTCTGCTCAAAATCCCTCTCTTGCTCTGTGTGGGTGCGAAAAATTTGATTATTCAACGTGACATTTTGGTTGAAAGTGTTACACTTAGAC